CCAGAATTAAACAGATAAAAGAGAGCATTTCCCTCTGCTCAGTGATTCACAGAAAGGGGCATCCATCTAGAGCCCCTGAAGGGATCCTTCCCAATTTCCCATGTCCTGTGGCCAGACCGAAACCAGCCAGCGCCGAGAAAGAGACCTGCAGGCTGGGCCAGGCTCCCCAGCGACCGGCAGCCAGAGAGCTCTCATTTTCTGGATGCCCAGCCTGGAAAGCCTCAATGGGTCATGATTTTCACAGACTGGATTATTTAGCTAGGCATCGCTCCCTGTGAAAAGATCTTGCGTTTGGCACCTAAAATGACTGCTCTCTTCTGCATAACCCCTGTCCAGCATGGATCACTCATGGGTCCTCAAGGGATAACACCTCTCCCGTGCTACCTCATCCCCCTGTGAGAAGGTGCTGCCTGTGCAGAAAGGACAGGGCGGCTCAGTGCCACACATTGCGCTGAACTGCAGCTCTCACAGATGCACCTGGCTCCAAGCTGGGGGAGACAGGTGTAGGTGTTTCTCTCCCCGTTCCTCCACTTCCCCTCTTCTGGGAGTGGGCATGTCTGAGAACAGCGTGGTAAGGCTGGACACAGGGTAAGGATGGAAATAAGATAAGGATGGATGAAGTGGTAACCTCACCTCCTGCCACAGCTAAAGCTGACTGTGAGTAAAATAGCCATGGACTTCAGCCCTGGGTCCCTGTGAAAGATCAGGAAACATGTTAAAAGAGGCTGGGAATCTGTCCTGTATGGCAGCTTTCCAAAGCAACGTCCATAATGTTATTCCAATCACTTTCACTGTCACAGTCTCATGTCCCACCTTGCAGAGGGGGAAAGGGCAGTTACCTACTAAGCAATGCTGTAGCAGAAACTCCTCCCCGCTGCCCCCAGCCACCATCTCACACAGCACACCTTACATGGGACACAGCGCCAAGACGCAGCAGCTAGCGTGCAGGTCACTGATGCAGGAAAACTGACTCTGGCTATTCCCATCAAAAGTGGCATTCTTACGAGCGTGCGACTTTCAAAGGCACTATGCACAGAGGGAAACTGCCTGAAAACAGCCCAGAGCAGGGCAGGAGGTGGAGCTGAAGTCTGGTAGGGTTCAGGTCATGATGCTCACGGGTGTGTTATTCCCCACGTTTCTGCGAGGAAAGAGTCTGCCAATTTTTTCTCTCATGAGCAAGTCCTTTTAAGAGATGTTACTGTGCACCTAATAAAGCAGCTTCTTGCTGACTGCTGCGCCTACCTACTCACACAATATCATAAACAATAATGTTGGGGAAGAGAGGAGGAGAAGGCTTTTTAGTTTGCCTTTTCTCCATCCCTTCCTCTCTCAACCATCTCAATGCATTCATCAGGCAGGACACTAATGGAAAAACATGACCGAGCTCAAGGCCCCAGTAATGTCCAGAGCAGCTGTTTTATAAACTGCATAAGTTCAATACGCAGATACTTGGCGGGATGGTTTGGGCTGTCTCAGAAACCCCAGCATCTCTCTGAAAGGAGCCTTTCTCACTCTTGCCCCTGCTACACAAACCAGTTGTTACATTTCGGAAATCTGCCCTTCCCTCTGGCATCCCATATATTTCTCATCCCCCAAGCAGCCCTCTGCTCATTGCATTCATGCAACTCATATTCAGAAGCGCCAGTTCTGCAAGAGGATCTGCTCTGGTATGTTTATATTTAGCTAGAGCATGAAATGCCTATGAAAAAAGGGCAAGGGAAAAGGGAGACTCTTCTGCGTCCTTTCACTAATGGTTTGCTTTGAGGATAGGCAACGATGATGCATACCCACAGATCTAAAAGCACTTTATACACTGGTGGGCAAATAATACTAATGGCCCCTTTTACAAAAGGCTTAAGGTGGGACTTTCAAAAGTTACCCTGCTCCCACTGAATTTCGTGGAGGCCTGGATGCGTAACTGGAAGCCTGCCTTGAATTCCCAGCCGCTGAGATCCACCCAAAGCTCAGGGCAAGGCAATGGCAGAGCTCTGAGCCCACATCTTCTCACCGAGTCCACAGGCTTGCAAGCATTTATGCATGTGTTCGCAAATCTTGTGTCTCAGTCTGGCAGCCTAGCCACTGGGTCATGCTACCCCTAGTTAATTACTGAATGGCTACTAGCCTCAATATGTGGTGGGAGTGAGGGAAAAATAAAATACAAATAAAATATAAAAATACTTTGTAATACAACTAAACCAGTTCCGCATCTCTCACATCGTTTGGTAAGTATGAAACAAGTAACACAGTAATACAGAAATGTATTTGGTCAAAGTAAGCAATCAATATTTTTTGATAAAATACGTTCTATATTAATGCTCATTCACATTTAATACACAGGTAAATTAAATTTTCTATGTATAAAATTCCAGTTTATTCTCAGTGCTGCCTGGTCATGCTTCAGTTCAGCAGCAGGGCTCAACACATACGGCTCCCAGCAAAGTGAGAGGGGACAAGAGCACTCGGCTCTCTGCAGGACCAAGCCTCAGACATCCCCTGGAGCGCCCAGTCCTGCAGGTCCCGTTTGAACAAAATCTCGCTGGCTTCAGTGGGAATTTTGCAGGGGTGAGTGCTGCAGAAGGGCCCCCCGGCTGTCCAGCACTTGCAGTCTGGTGTGGAAGTCACCCAAATGGCATATGGCATTCCGAAAAAAAAGTGAGTTAGTGAATGCAGAAAATAATATATCTACATAATTTACAGCGTTATGTTTGCTTGCAACCATATGGATGCTCAACCGCTCATTAACAATTCAATCAATACGCAGGGAAAGGTAGCAGAGTGCAGTACATATTACAACCTCCTGTATGCAATTACAAGCACTGGATCTTAGTCCTTCCTCATTTCATGAATTCCTGCCTATCCCACTGCCACCCAGAGCCCAATTCTCCATTGAGCCTTGTGGAGTCAATCCTTCACAGCACTTAGGCCGGTTCAGATTGCGCCTGCACCTCCGCCACGGGCCCCTAACACTGTGCAAGGGGCGCAAGGCACCTTCGCCTGCGGGTCCTCAGCTACCACCCACGTCCACCTCTGCACCCTCCCCTCTGTTGTGCCGGCACTCATCTGTGCAGCCATGCGCTGAACCAGATGGCGGGACTGATGTGGCTGGAAAACTGCCTGTCCGTAAAAAGGCGGAGGGTTATTTCCCAGCCAGACCAACCCCGCAGCCCAGCTCACGATGCAGCCGTGCCCGGGGCTTGTGCAGGTGTGCGTGTGGGTGCGTGCACGTGCGTGCCGGTGCCAGCCACCTGCACCCAAGCAAAACGGGTGCAAGTGGCTAGCAAACCTGAACGGCAGGACTTTGCCCCCAGTTTGCGCTACTGCAAATTATGTCTTGCATTACGTTACAGCAGAGGAAAGTCAGCCCCAGAAGATCTACTTGTATGAGCCGCAACCAAAGGATTGGATGCTAAAAAGAGAAAGGTTCTCGTGAAGCAAGGCTCTGTTTAAGGTTATGGCATCTCTTTTAGCTGGAGAGGAAAGAAAAACTTAGGGACTTAAAGCAGGGATGGAAACCACTGGTCTTACACTTTATTTTAGTAAGCAAAAAGCCTATTGCTGCTGTACAGTGTTATACAATGAACTGCCACGGTTCTCACGTCACTAGTCCATAGAAAATGTGCTGCGACTACCATGTTTATGCCTGCATGCTGAAAGAATGTACAAAGTTGCATTAAGCTCTGTTTCTCTTCCACGTTTTTTTAATATTCTTAAACTCCAACTTTTACAGTGTTGCAAACACTTCTGTGCCTACTCAGGTACCACACACCATCCCAGTTATGGAAGGTCTTTGCCCCAGACTGGAAAAATCAAGTGCTATGCACCTCTCAAGCCATCATCAGAAATGTAAACCACCAAGAAAACTTGCTCTCTTAAGTAAAATTGAAAAAAAAGTCTTTAAAAAATCTATTGAAAAGGAGACACCGCTAAACAGGGTTTTCAAAATGGTACAAGTTGTTTCTAGGAGTTGTCCAAGCATTTTCTCTTCGCTCACTTTTTGTTTTTATAAAGCTAATTCTGTATAAAAGGGCTTTTGAAGCGTGTGACCTTCATTTCACGATTTTTAAAAAATTGGAAAAAAGGAGTAAATTTAGAAACATTTTGCTCGATTGTGGAAAACAGCTGTATTACAACAGAATCCCCTTTGCTTCTTATATTTTCAGTACAAAAGGCAAGTAAATAAAGAGACCCTGCCTCTTCACAGTCTGGCACTCATTCGAGTCACTTAAATCTACGCAAAATAGGTATAAAATACAAGGGGTCGTCTTCTCCTTTATACCAAAACCCCACCAAACCCCTCTGGAGAGCAAGTCCCCAGCTAAGTAAAACCTTATTAGTTTTATATCAGCCAAAGTAGTAGTATTTTAGCTCCCCTCCAACGAGGTGTAAATGCCCGGGCTAGCTCAAAGGCCCAGGGAGAGGAACAGGTCCAGCATAATTTTAAGAGCCAGGTGCTGGTTTATACCCTTATGGCTTCAAAGTTAAGTTGCACTTCAATTCACAATGCCACAAGGTTTGAATAATAATTTGGCAGTGTATTAAAAATAGTGAAGCTTAAAGTTGGTTGTCACACAGAAGTGGGATAGGCGATGGCTATTTTTTAATTGATTTGTAGGAAAGCAGCATTTGGATCACATGGTGTCGGAGTACCAGGGTTGGTTATAACGTGTACTGCTGATTCTGATTACTCCCAGTTATTAATCCAGCACTTGTAAACTCAGGTGTCAGTAAAACGACATTAATACGTCTGACACCAATACTCCCCTGGATTTCCCGCTTCCCATTATTTTTGTTAAGCCTTCATGTGCACTTCTGCAGTACCGACCGCTACTAAACTAGTGTTTTTCAGGAGAAATCTCTCCAAGTTTGGTACTTTGTCAAAAACCATAGCTGTTGAACTAAAAAGAAAAGCGCAGGTCGCGTTTGCTCTCTGCGCTGGTTTCCTCGGAAAGGTCACCGGTGAGGACTCAGCACTCTCACCACATGCTTCCTACATTCACGGTACTCTACATTCATGTCAGCGAACGCTACTCTTGAACACAAATCGAAGAGACAAGTCAGCGACAAAACTACTTCTAGACTGATAACGGCAGAATGCTACCAAGACAACTCCATAGAAAACCCACTGAAGCAGGAGCAAAATTCAGGTCACTTCTTAGCAAAGCTCATCACAGATTATTAGTATTAATTATTTTTTTTTTAAACCATTTTGTAAAACTTTTATCCTGGGAGCCAGATATCCCCATGTGATGCGCTAATTCGAACAGGCTAATGTGGGACCACCTGACCCCACCTGGTACCAAAGGCTTCCGAATTTTTTAGCTTCTCAGAAAATCACTGCTGACTGACACCCATCTGTTGATGATCGGCTTCTGGTTCCTCTTCTTCCACATCTGCGTTATATTCTTCAAATGCATCATCATCAACATCTGGAAGCCCAAGTAACTACAAAGAAGAGAAAATACCGTGTAATAGCGAATTACCCGCTCGTGCAGCTTCGCTGCAAATCTTCACACAATACCTAGGTGCCACTTCTTGAAAACCTCAAACCCTGGAATAACAGTATTGCATAACGATCTCGGCTCTCTTTCGCTCCCTCCTGTGACAGAGAAAGATTTGAAAATGCATCCTCACACCAAATTAACTGCTCGGAGACCGGAAGATAAATAAAACCAAAGCAAAGCACTTGCAAAAAGCTTCGCATTCTTCCCTGAGGTCATATCATGAATTGCTGAGTGTTTAGACTTGGCAGTGGTTTAACTTCAGAAAGAACCATGATAATACTGCAGCAGTAGTTATCTCGGTTTAAGATTGTGTTCGGCAACCCTACAAAAGCCAAAGAAGAAAGCATCCTCATGCAGAACAGGCTAGTATGGAGTAGGCAAGGAGTCCCTAAAAACCTAAAGATCCCACCACATTAAGTGCTTCTCTTTTACCCTTCACTCCATCGCACCAGATGAAGCCTTGCACGCTGGGTGAAGCCCTTGCAGTGAGAAATACTGTGTGTTCAACTCAAAATTGCCCGAGTCCCTTTAAATTTCTGCAAATTAGATTTGGGCTTGTGAAGAACGGCCAGCCCATCTTCCTTGTACAATGTGAAGAACGGCCAGCCCATCTTCCTTGTACAATGTCTGGATGCTTCCACCTGATGGCTCCGATCACTGCAACGGCACTTGTTCGCTACAGGAAAAGGAGCCAACAGAGACGTTTGAACTTTTCCCCTTTCCTCCAAAAGGTTGCCAAGCCAACAGAAGTCAGGAAGACAGATAAACCAAATAATAGTCAAAATAATGCATCTGTTGTGGAAAACTCATATTAGAGTCCTACACTTGCAGCTATTAATATACACAAAGCAAAATCACATGCCAGGCATTATTGAGAATACCATGTATTTAGCTTGCCAGGGCTGGAAGAGCAGCACAGATGCATGCAACACTCTGTTTGGAGAGTGACGCAGCTGTTAGCTCTCAAAAGAGGCAAAACCCAGAAAAATCGGGAGGAGAGCGACACTCGCTAGGTGGTAGCATGAAAATGAGAAGGCTATGACGAGGCAGATTTTTAGGGACCTAAACTAATTTGGTCTGTGATCAACATTCAAAATTATTCAGTGGGTACAAAGACAATGTACAGAATTAGCCTCTGGGTCCAATAAAGCTTGTATTCCTCACTGCCACTGGGAGAAAAACAGCTTTTTAGTTACAGGGTTTCTTCAGGAGGGAAATGGAAGGAGAATTTGCTGACTAAACCCCCTCCTTCGCGTTTTAAAAATACTTACGGAGAGACCCCCAGCTGAAAATGTTCTTGTTTTCTGAGCAGAACAAAGAGTAAATATTCCTATGCATACATATTTTTCAAATCAAATGCTTAACTGAACGTGACACTACTTGGTTCATTTTCAGGATGCGGGGGTTTTGTTTCACGTTGAAGCTAAAATTAAAATACTCAGTTTTTAAAATGCAAAAGTAAGGCCTCTAGACTTTCTTATCCACCAGTATTATTTTTGCTAAACTGATCTGGTGTATTCAAATTAAATGTGAGTGTTGTACTGCTCTGTTTATATCACCCAGCAGAATGAGCTTTGATCACATTTTTTTTGCCCAGCTGTAGTTATAATTCCTCCTTGATTTGCGGGGAAATGAGCCGCGTGAGTCTTCATTTCATGGGATACTGTAAGCCTTTCCTGTGCAAAATTAACACAGAAAACACAACATACACCACGAGAACTGCAAAGACACGCACGATCCCGAAGGATGGGGAGCACGTCCTGCTTTTCACACATCGACTCTCCCTTCGCCCTTGGGAAACCCAGCTCTCCTCTCCCTGGCACAGCGTAAATTAAAGAGTGATGCTGCTGACAAACGGTTTTACAGAGCGTAGGAAGGATGGGGATGGGATGGGATGGGATGGGATGGGATGGGATGGGATGGGATGGGATGGGATGGGATGTTCCTCCAAGAGAGGTGCAGTTTTGTTCTCTCACGGACACTTTAGGATCTTCCAAGGCACCGAGGACCTCAACCATGCAGGTCCTGCTTTTAGGGGTTGCATCTCGTCACTTCCCCCAGGACTACAGTCCCTCACCGCTGTTAACCCCTTACTGCTCTCTGGACTGCAGTGACAAATCAGCCCACACCTTGACCCCAAGGAGGGAGGATCAGGGTCCAAAGTGCAGGGAGCTCTACAAACATTGGGTCAAAGCAGAAGGAGGGTGTACAAAAGACGAGGACAAAATAAGATGATGAAGGTGGCCTGAGTTGACCCTAGACCAACTCTCACCTTGTCTTCTTTCAAAGACACTAGTTTCTGCTTCTAGTCCATATCTACTTCATACATTAAAAGTATCAGCTATGTGCCAGACTTGAAAGCACTTTAATGGAGAGCAAAAACAAGGAGGAAAGAGGTAAAACAGGAAAGGGGTGTAGAAGGAGAGAGCTGATCCATTAGCCAAACAGCCAAGGGGAGCAAAACTGCCAGGTGGGGATGCGTGGGGAGGAGGAGGACAGCAGGGTGGTGAGGAGGGAGGGAGGACAACAACCAGCAGCAGCACTGCCTGAACTACATCTGTTTATTCCATCTGGAGGTAAAGGAGAGGTCACTGGGACATGTATGAATTCAATGAATATAGGATAAATGGCTTTTACACTGCAGAATCCCCAGTTCAGATGTAGGCTTTTTAGGTTGAAGGTAAGCTCAATGCGGGAGCCCTGGAATTTGCTGCTGAATTGTACTACTCATCTTTTGGTTCTCTGCAAACTCTGCCAGTTGGCGTGATGTCCCTCAGGCATTTTTTATTTTTTGTCTTTCTTAACTCTTTCAAAGTGCCCTGATTTTATACAAATAACCTAGTAGTTTTTAAGTCACGAAAGCAGAGTGACATTGCCTCCTACCAAAAGCTGACATACAAGCACACTGAAAAATAAACCAAGTACAAGACCGAGCTTTAGCGGTCCACACGATGCTACACTAGAGATAACGTGGTTCTGTTGAACCCTGGTGTGAAGGGCTTAGTCTCCAGGCAGACGTGCTTACAAGCACCAGCATGGACACCTCTGGCACCAGAGAGACAAGGGCGTCGGAGGAGCTGGGATGCTCTGAGGCAAATAGTGGTATTTGAGCCCAGTGCTACTGATATCACTTCATGTACCTGCGTGGTGCCTGGCACTTTTGGATGCTCCCTGAATGAGTGGGTAATAAGGCAAATCACAGAGTTTTGTGGAAACTGACCCAGGAAGGCAGTAATGGACAGAGACAACATCCCCACCACCACCTTCAGTAAAGAAACTGCTTGACCTTGTCTACAGCAGGATTTAGAGGTGTGGTTTAGCTGTCGCAGGTTGACCAACACTTTTTAAAAGCCTCATCTAAATATCCCGCCCTGGCACTGTGTTTATGCCCATAAAACATAAGGGAGAGAAGCCTGAGAGCAGCGAGGGCTGGTGAGATGAGGCCTCATTGCCTCCTGAGCCCTGGGAAGAGTGGCGAGCGGAGGGAAATCTCTGTCTCTCACTGAGAAGGATGCTAACCGCTGGGCATCCCCGTTCTCACCACCTCCGAAACACGGGGCCCAGCAGTGTGAACAGCCAGTCCCTTCCCACGCCGCAGCCCCAGGGTAAGCCTGCAGAGGCACAGCTGGGCTGTTATCACCAATGTGTGGAGCAGGGCTGAGATGAGTTACTGGGCGAAAATTCGTCCAGGAACCTTTGGTTAAGGGAGGGCAGGTGCTCTTGCCATGCACGAGGGCATGGAGAGCTGCAGATGCACCACCGGTGTCTCCGCCTAAACATTTCCCTTCAAAGGACCCCAACAAAGTCTTTCAAAACCGTCTAATAATCTTGGATGTCTGGCTGGAAATACTGAAATGGAAAAGACTTTCAGAAAGTACTTACCAAGCACATGCTAAAAACCTGGCCCCTCCTCAGTGTCTCAGGCTGAATAGCCAGGACAATTCAGAAGAGCCCGGTCTGACCTTCAGCACCAGTTTTTCCTAAACTGCCATTTTTCAAACTGAAATTTGCCAGACCGGTTTCCAACAGCAGACTTGGCTGGGATAGTGGAGAAGAAATGCCCTGCAAATGCACTGTTACCGCCATGCTCACGGCAAGGTGGTTTCATTAGCAAAACAGGTCCAGCAGAGAAAGGATGGGGAACAGTGCAAAGTAAGGCCAAGGAAATAATTCCCCCATACTGAGGAAAAGCAGTTTTGTTCTGGGAAAGGCCTGAGGGTGTAGAATAACTGTTTCCATACATCTACTGTAACACCCATCACTTTTTAAAATCTATCCTACCATGCATGTGCTATTTTTAATAATTACAATAAGGGCAAAATGTCAATACATTCTTTATTAGACTTGCCTACACACAACCATACCTTGAATGATAAAACCGGTTTTGTTACGCTGATGCAAATCACTCAATACTAGGTCAAAGGAGAATCTGAGAGACTTAATCTTTGTCGTACATCCAAGAGAAAATGAAGAGGTACTTGACTACAGTCTGCAAGAGGTCTCTGACAATTGAGGACACCGCTCTTGAGCAGACAAAAGCATAATGAAATTCAACAGTTAGGAAGCAAAACTAGAAAAATGCAGATTGTAAATAAAAGTTTTTCCCAGGAGCATAACTAATGATGAGAAGAAAAAGCGCCCAGTAGTGTTGTATCCTTTAAGTCACCTGAAGACTTTACATCATGACTGGGTGTCTTTGGAAAAGAGATGCTCCAGCTCAACCACAATTTTTGTGCTTGGTGGTAGGAACCATGGGGTGAAATGTGATGTATTAACGAAGGGCACAGACTAAATGAGCATAATGGTTCCCCTTGCTTTGAACCTTTTTATTCTGAAGAGTAGCTTAACTTGGTTTGACTGAAGCCAATTTCTCAGCAACTTAAGCTATGCTGAAGTAAATGTGGTTTAAATGAAATAAGTGATCTGTACCAATTTAATTAAGTCTTTTTGAAGTCCTCTTTAGTTAAACCAATGGAAGTTTCTCCTCAAAGACACAGCTTTTCTGAGCGGGAGAAAACAGATATGAAGATCCAAGAGCCGAATACTGTTCTGGGAAACGTATTTATATTTTTGTATGTTTTCACAATTACAAGCAGCTGTACTGACGGATCAGATTTCCAGTCCTTTCTAAGAAAAGTGTGCATCTGTTCTATTTATTTCCAGTCTCTCAAAGGATTCTTTAAAACGATGCTCTTTTATGTCGACCAGCTGTGGCGGTCCACGGCAAGGCAATGCAAGGGTGTAACACAGGGAGGGCCGGTGTTTTCATATCGGCGCTCCAGGCCCTCCCTTTTGCTCTAAATACTTGGGATACATTTTCAGCCTTCTCAATTAGCCAGAAAAAGAGAGGAGGAAAAAATGGCTACATTTTCAGTTGAGTTTAAAAATGTCCATCGGTCAGCTTTCCCATAGACATCACGGGAGCATGGCGCTGGCAACGAACCTCTGCTCTGCTTTGCACCAGCCCCTTACCCAGCCCAAGGCTCTCAAAAGGAGAGGCTGTGCAACGGGAGGATTTGGGAAAAATGAAGGACAACAGCCAGCCTAAGTCACCTCACCCTGATGCAACCCAGGCTTTGACCCAAATCTTAGTGTTAAACAAGGACAGAGAAAGCTGAATAGCAGCAAAACAGAAAAAAACATGCCCCCTCCCCACAAAACCCAGCTTCTGCTCCAACCTCTTCTCAAGCAGTGACCAAACTGGCGTTTGCAAATACCAAGTGGCAACCATCCTAACAGCAACATCTGGACCGCTTGGGGGAAAAAAAAGCCAACCCTAAAATAAAACAAGCCACTCAGAGGAGAAACCATATTTCCAGCTTCCCAGAGGTTTACTCTCGCTACTCAGATCCTCGCAAAACTCCCCAGTTCCAGTGCCAGGAAATAACTCCGCCACAAAGTCCCGCGGCGCTGACTCGCATCCCGTTCCTTGGAGTCAGCACTGCATCAGCAGGACGGGAGCCCCTGCGCAGCTGGGGAGCCGGTGCCACCGGCTGGCGCACCAGTTGGCCTCCCACCCCGCGCGGGAATCTCATCCTCTCAAACGCAGAGATGGAAATAAAAAGGCAGCTGGCTTCCAAGAAACAATTTCCAATCGCCTGATAGTAGCTTATGTGCTAACACCCCTGCACCCAGGCAGCTGACTGGAGATGTAAGTCCCTGCAGAAGAAAAACCACCTTGCTCCATCCAGTGCTATCCTATTAAAAGTCACAGGTAACTGTCAATGTTTAGAAGTAAAAAACAGGCACTTACAGGTCTGAAGGATTTGAAGACTTTTTCCAATATTTCATGGAGTGTCTTTTTCCCACAGGAGGAGATGTAATCCTGTGCGAGCTGCAGAAAAGGTAAGCAGTCCTCGCTTTCGCTCCACACGTGCTGAAAGCCAACAGCAACACAAGAAAAGGCATTAACAGGAATTCACGCCAGCCTTTCCACATGATTTTATAAGGAGACATGTTGTAAACATCTGCCAAAGTACACTGCGCCTCCTGCAGTTCAGACCTGCACTGGGGACGGGCACTGCAGGCTGTTTCAGAAGCCACGCTTCTGAGGAGGAACCTTGATTTTATTAACACAATGCATCAGAAAGCAGGGAAATCGATCCAGAAGAGAAAAGGCCTTATGACTGCACCAGCAATGAAGGGTAAGCACACCTTGGGCATGAGCATTTTATGAGTAAAGGTGTTTTCGTTTGACATCAGCCCTGCTCAGACCTGGAAGTCACGTTGGGTTTTCTCTTCTTCTGCATCATCCGCTGCAATGAAGCCCTCAGGAAGAGCTAAAGCATCTCTTCGTCTTCCTGGCGTTAGTGCAAGCATGATGCGACCCTGGAGGTGGAACTTGATGTGTAATTCTCTTGACGATGCAGAAGAAAAGATGCAAAATATACCCGCAGGTTAGACACAGAGCCAAGGACAGACGTTTGGGCATTCACAACATCCTGACACTTCATGCCTCCCTCCCTGATTTGAGGTTTACTCCTCCTAGACCCGAATCTTCTCTTCCCGGGCAGGCACATTTAAACCCATTTGGGATATTCCTCTTGTCTTGCTCTTGCTTCGGAGATGCTGGTTCCCCAGCCTGGCTCTGTGAAGCCTCTCCCGAAATTGATGCTTGTTCTGTTGCCACGAGGTTGTTTGAAACAGAGCTGGTGAGCGATGGTGGAAGCACTCAGGCAACAATGTTCTTGCACACAAGGGCAGCACTCAGCACAAGCTAATGCGTACTTTTAAAGACCTTCTTTTTGAAAACTTTGTGCATGGGACTGTCTTAGGCAGTCTGCTACACAGAGAAGCGTAATACTGCAAAATTGGCTTGAGACTCTTACATCTCTATTTTGGCACAGCAGCTCTTTTCCCCAAAGTGCCGTGCAGCTTTTTACTGTGCTATAAACAGTAGGTTATGCTTAAACAAGGAAAAGAGGAGGGTCTCTTTGAAGCTTAACTAACATTCAGGGCAAGAGTCAGAACGACAGATGTTTCAATCCCTAACATAAGGCCTGCATGTCGCCTTCCTGTTCAGTGGCAAATACCTGCCAGGGATGCAGTTTTACACCGATCGAAAGAAAACACTACTTAACATCACCTAAGCCGCATCTTTAAGACGAAAACTGTAACTGCCTTGCTATGAACCTCACTTGACCTACATTTTCTTTGCTGCTTGTTGCATTTTACAAGCATAAACATAGTGAAATGTTTTGTTATGAAAAGAGCCCTGCTTTACTGAGCAGGTTCTGCTCTTTCCATATAACCAGAGTCATCTCTTAACCAGCCTGGCAATAAAAATAAGTTCTTTACAGTCTTGCCAACTCTCAAAGGCACATACCACAAGTCTCATCATACTTCATGCCATCTTAGAGTCACGGGCCTTGTAGTCCTATAAATATACAACCAAATCTCAGCTTCTGTTTACAAAAAAAAATAAATACATGTCTGCACTTTGTGATTTCTATGGCCTAAAAAGGCAGAAGGTACATGAAGTGAGCTCAAATGAACCCTCTTTAAAATATCAAATGAACACTTTCAAATCACAACATTTTAAGAACAGCCTCGAGATTTTGGAGGTCTGGCCCACAATTTCTTAATACTTGGGGTTAGCAATAACAGTTTGGCTACTTCTAATCCTTGCGTCAAACTTAAGAGCTGGATGTTGCAGCTTGGCAATTCATGGCTGTTGTAATTGTTTATATGTATAAAATGATTATGACAGCTAACATCCTGATTCTTGTTTAAATTGTGGCTTCTTTTGACTACCAGAGCTATACACAGGAGCTTCCACATCAATGAAAATCAGGCCCTGCCCTTTTATAAATAATAGCTAGTTCGTTCCCGGGGAAAGTTAACCCCATGTTGTCCTATCATGTTTTTACAGTCTCTTTTCAAGCTGCATCATGTTTTAGACTCCAGTGTGAATTTGTCAGCAGTAGCACAGAGTAAGATGATCTAGCACGAGGGGAAAACCTAAGTGAGTAACTTGATCATTGAGCCTTTGAAGAGACTTTTGCATAGCATTGTAAGGCAATAAGCAAGTAAGGCTTCCAACTGAATTTCCACGTCTGCGGAAGATTTAAAACTTTGGCTGCAGCAACACACACACTATGAATGGTCTCACGTGTCATTAGTGCATACATCTCATTCGGAAACGGCTTGATTTCATCTTCCTCCCAAGAAAAATCCTTAACCGTAACAATGACCAGGGTTATAACACCTATATATTCAGCTGCATCAACAGTCCTCTGTGGATCTTCAGCTCTGCACTGAGGCAGTGCAGGAACTGAGTCTCACCACTGACTCACACATCTCCAGAGGAACCTGCAAAAGGAATTTTGGCTTCTCCAAATAAAAATAAACATAATTTGAGGATTCAGCTCTTGGTCAGAAAGTTAGAGCAGTCAGTGAGGCTCCACATACGGAGATGCTTTTCCTGGAAAAACCCTGACGCCCGAGAATCTCTTTGCAGTGGGAGAAGCGGGCTGCTGGCAAACCAGTGGACCACAGCGCTCGGCCGTGGCTGCGCAATTAAAAAAAATATTAACCTCATCATCTGAGTATGTGTTTTCCAAGCTTGCCCAGTTCTGCTCACGGTTGCTTTGTGTCACTACAAAAGCACACAGCCACTAATTTCCACCTCAGCTGACCTAGGATCATGGTTGAATTATTTAGTTCAGCATCTACACACAGCACATAGCTGAGGCAATTCATAGGGTTGCATCTGGAGGGGTTTGCTTTTCCTCACGCCTTTAGATGATTCAGTGTTGCTGGATGACAGAGTCACTTGCTGGACCACCTTTTTCTAACCAGCCCACCTGCTGAGCGTGGCAGCAAAACTTTTTCTTTGTGGGGATAATTCGACTTGCAGAAAATATTCAGACTCGCTGACTGAGTTCTGAAATATTTTACAGGAAATCTTGCATCAGGGTGGCATCATATTTTTATTTGCTTTATTGGTTACTTTGAATAGCAGCAATAACACAGTGACAAAACAAATGACAGACTATAAGGAAAAGCGTCGCAACCCTCACGCTCATTGGTTATGGATATACAAGTCCAATTAATTTTTTGAGAACACCATGAGCCTCAGGAGCTAAATTATACGTAGTTCAGCTATCTAAAATGCGCATTCAGAGAGTTTTAGTGTCCGGGCGGTACTGAAAATGCCAACAGGCATCTAGATGGGTCTTCTGCATCCCTAGCATGTTAGAAACCTGGCCCAAAGATACCTTTACAGGAAATTAAAATTATATTATTGTTGTGATCTGGAATCTCTGATTTTATACAAAATTCAGAGTTATTCTCCACCAGATTGCATCTTGGCAACCTTTCCATGTTTTTCTCCTCCTCCCTTTTAAGTTCATCATGCTCATCATTTCCTCCTCACAAGTGGGTTATCATGGACTTCTGGCACCTCCTACATAGCTTTTTAAGTCGCATTATTATGAAATGAAGATGTAAAGAAAGAGTACAAGAATACCAGGCACCAGATGCTTATTAAATGTGAGGCTCCTTTATAAGAGTCAGAGGGTGCAAAAAGGCTGTAAAATGTGCCACTGTGAATTCTGTTTATATTTACTCACTTTCACACTCCATTGTGTTACTGGAGCCATGCAACAAGGCTCAAGTGCAAATGAGATCAGTCCCCTGGCTTGTATTAAGTCTCCTTAAAATAAACTTTAGCCTGCAATTGCACGTAGAAAGGAAACTTATCTCCTGGAACATAAAAAAAGCAAAATGACTGCAAAAAAACAGGAGAGCCAAGCTGGGAGCAGAAATGAAGTCCCACAGTGCTCTAGGAGCAGAAAACACGATGCTGGTGAATCAGCTCATTAGTGGTTCTTAATTGCATTAAAGAGACACCATCAACAGGAAAAGAATTAAGAATGACACCTATCTGCCTGTCTTAAAAGTATTATTACTACAAAAAGTGCCGTAAGTAATAATGCCAAAAAAAGACAGAAGAAAACACTGCTTCTAGTTTTCCACTGTTCACGTTCTGCATTTGACAGGAGTTGGCCCTTCTGCTGAGTTTTACTGTTGGCGGCTCTGGGTGGGGAGTCCTTTCCACAGCAAGCCTGGAATGAAAATATTTGCCAAAAAAAAAGGGAAAATGTGGTTGCAAACCCACAAAAACTGGCCAGTGTTGGAAGCATGGGAATAGGATCTGAAACTGCTTAAGATTTTTTTTAAAGTTGACTAGATTTTGTTTTGAAAGAGTTCACTCAGTTATTGAGCAGTGTATAAAGAAACAATACAAGTCTAAGAAAAACAATGACCTTTCTTTGCAATTTCCAGTATCATTAGCATCAAATCACAGCTTTAGCCTAGTCCTGCATTGGATTCATACGTATCCCTGCTTAAGAGTCCAGCAGGCATGGCCCTTTTTGGGCACAGGCACCTCTAGAAGGGAACGAGCGTCGGGGTTTGACAGGCTCATAGGCGCTGGGAAGATGGGTGTGCAGGGCTAGTCCGACCATGGACCAGGAGAATCCACACCCAGAGATGCTTCACTGCCACGGCTGGGACTGCGGCCGAAGGTCTCATGTATCCCTGGACAGATGCATAACTAAACTCCAGATAACTTCTTAATTCAGCATGACCATCTGCCCGACACAATAAACAAATGTCCTGCTCGCTGAGATTTGTGGTCTGGGAGAAGCTCTTTGTTTCCATGAATGCATCTGTCAAATGGGTTCATACTGCACTTACCTGTTGGAAAGGGAATTAATGAACATTTGTCAAGCAGGTCGAGGGATGAAAGTTGCTCCGGGAAGGGAAGGACCTACAACATTCCTACAATAATGGTCTGTGCTAGGAGCTATTTAAAAAAAAAAAAAAAAAAAAATCCTTTCATTGCAGTTAACTGGAGCTTTGCAGGTTACAAACGCCGTGGCGAGGTGCCGCTTTTCGGTAACTCTTCTTGCACTTCTGCTCACCACCGGGAGGGCTGAGGGGGAGGGGAACAACCCACCCCCCCCATCCCAAAGCCACGGGTTGTTTTGCCGGTGCCATTTCTGCACAAACTTGCCGCTGAACTCCGCGAGGGGCGGGGAGGGGACGCGGCGGCGCCAGGC